TGTACATATATTATACATATAACGTCACATAAATAGTTAGCGAGGTAGTACATAAAAGCATAGGAAAAATGAGCAAAGCAAGTACCAGCGAATCGGACACCGGAACCGTTATTGATTTAGATGCATTATTTACCCTACAGTTAGAGCGATGCGAGACACTTAAGCAAATTTTAAAGAATTTTAAAAAGGACCCAAATACGAGAAAAACTAGGGTATACTGCCAGGTTCGCCTTGAAAAGATGGAAGCAGTACATGGAGAATTTAACAAAACTCACACCACCATTGTACACCATGACACCAGTCGGAAATCGCAATATTTTACTGACAGGGTAGCTTCGGAGTTTGAAGAACGCTATTTCGATAGCCGGGTTGCACTTTTAGAAGCATACAACGAACAAACGCCTTCATCTTCGGAGCAATCTGCCGGTTCTCAACTGCAAGTTCCAAAAAAAATGTCACCAATCGAAATGCTAAAACTACCGTTGCCATCGTTCTCTGGCAAATATATCGAATGGCCGGCGTTTCATGATGCATTTGTCCGACTGATCCACACCAACACCGACTTAAGTGCTATTCAAAAATTTCACTTTTTAAAGAAGGCACTGCCAGCAGAAAACGATGTAGATGTTCAGCAAATGGCCTTAACTGAGACCAACTATGGAACTGCCTGGGATTTAATTGTAAATCGTTATAATAATCCTCGTCTACTATTCATGCACCACATGAACAAGCTCTTTACCCCATCTGCAGTTACTAAAGAGTGCTCAGATGACATCAAGTCTTTACTCAATGTAGCAAAGGTCTGTATAAATGAGTTCAGTCGTTTGAAAATACCTATTTCACAGGGCAATCAGTGGATTGCGTACCTTTTGTCAACAAAGTTGCCAAAGGATACCCATCAAGCTTGGGAATATCACCTCGGCAGTGACGTTAACATCCCCACCTTTGAAATGTTAGAAGCATTTTTAAATAAGCGTCTGGTGACAATCAATGTGATTGAAAATAGGAACATTTCGTGTGGTAATAACTCACTGTCAAAGACCAGCAATGTGGCTGATAATACTTCGTCAACTAAACGCCAAAGTCGACCTCCAAAGGCTTTATACAGACATAATAGTAATAGTTTTCACGCCACTAGTCAACCGAAAAACGTCAATTCATGCTTTCTGTGTGGCGAAGCACACATTCTGCGGCGCTGTACCAAATTCCTCGCCAAAGATTGCTTTGAGAGAAAGTCTATCGCGGACAAAGCAAAACTTTGTTTAAATTGCCTGAGCAGGGCTCATTCAGTTTCCCGTTGCACCAGCACGAAGAACTGTCTACAGTGTAGCCAAAGACACCACACTCTTCTACATTTTCCAATGTCAAAGCCCCCACAGCAAAATGAATCCACTCGATCACACGAGGGTGGCAAATCTCAAATAGCTTTAAACCCATCAGCTCAAACCTTTCAAGTTGAAAGCACTCAGAGTCAGACCACGACTCATCAAAACCCCACGTCATCCAGGTTAACGCACACTGTTCAGCTTCTTACAGAACCGTCACAGAAGCAGACTCGTAAGGTGCTTTTAGCCACCGCTCTCGTCACGATCAAGAACGACGGCACGGGTCAGTCCATGGTAGTACGTGCGCTATTAGATCAAGGCTCTGAATGCACACTTATTTCAGAGCATGCCGTTCAAACACTCTGTTTGACACGCAACCGTGCTTTGGCAGAACTGTGAATTTCATAATGCACTCATATGTGAACCCTAACTACCATGTCGCGGTCGATACCGCCTTTGTTTTAAAGGCGCTCACCAATAAATTGCCAAGTCAAACAATTGAGCCAAACCAATGGGCTCATATTCGAGGACTGCAGTTAGCAGATCCTACGTACTACCAGCCACGTCGTATAGACTTACTTCTGGGTGCCGACATGTTCGCTAACCTTTTATTGCCAGAAACACGTATTGGAGGACTTTATGAACCAATAGCCCAGCGCACCCATCTGGGATGGATATTGTCTGGCAATACTACTTCCACCCCCAAAGTTGATGCTGTTAGTCTTCATTGCAACCATGTCACTCTCGAGCTGGAATCACTTGTACAACGTTTTTTCGAAATCGATCAAGTACCGACCGAGAGATCTCTCTCGCAAGAAGAAAACTGGTGTGAAACACATTTTCAACAAACGCATATGCGGCAACCAAATGGGAAATATTTAGTGAGACTTCCATTGAAAAATTTGTTTGATGAATCTCAAACCCTCGGTAAATCCAAAAAAATTGCACTCAACCGCTTTCATTCACTGGAGCGAAAACTACAACGCAACGATGAATTGCGAGCCCGGTATGAAGGGTGCATTCGGGAATATTTCACCCTGAATCAAATAACTCCTGCTACGACAACTGAGGAGCAGCATTCCGTCAAACGTGCCTCAAGTGCTCCAACAGTCGCATCATGTGTATTACCTCACCACGATGTGATCAAAGAGGAAAGTCTAACCACAAAGCTAAGAATCGTGTTTGACGCCTCGTGCAAGACTAGCAATGGCAAATCGTTAAATGACGTACTGTGTGTGGGACCCGCACCTTAAAATGATCTGCCAGCAGTAGTTTTAAATTGGAGAAAACACAAATTTGCGTTTACATCTGATATCCAAAAAATGTATCGGTGCATAGACATGCACACAGATGACTCGCAATATCAACGCATTTTGTGGCGAAACGAAGCAAATGAAATTCAGGAGTATTGTCTCACGACAGTCACATTTGGGACTGCTTCCGCTCCATATACCGCGATACGAATCCTCCACCAACTGGCTGAAGACGAAAGTACATCGTATCCGTTAGCAGCACCTGTCCTTCGGACTGAAATGTATGTTGACGACGTACTATCTGGCGGTCACTCCGTTGAGATCGCCACCGAAATTCGCAAACAAGTAACCTTAGCATTGCGCTCCGCTGGCATGGAACTTCGAAAATGGAGCAGCAACTCATCGGCGGTGCTGGACGGTATTCCCACCGAAAACAGGTCAGACAGTAATGCCTTACAGTTAAATAGCAGCGATACCGTTAAAACCCTTGGCATTCTGTGGCAACCGAAAAAGGACGTTTTTAAATTCCGGCTCAACTTCGAAATTGATTTTACTGCCACCAAACGGTCAGTGCTCTCAACTATAGCTCGTCTGTACGACCCACTGGGATTAATTACACCGGTTATTGTAGCAGCCAAAATCATCCTGAAATCGGTATGGTCCTTTAAGGTACAACGCGATGAGCACACGTTCACACCATTGGCATGGGATGAAACGCTACGAACAAATCTAAATCACCAATGGCAACGTTTTCTAAATACTGTATCGGAGATGCCCTGCATCACGGTGCCGAGATGGTTGAACTATGAGCCAAATCATGTTAAATCATTACAACTCCATTTTGCGATGGCTCGACAGCTGCATATGCAGCATGTGTTTATCTACGGGTAGAATGCAGTGATGGTAAAATTTTTACAACGCTTCTCATCGCAAAAAGCAGAGTCACCCCGACAAAACCGTTGACTATACCACGCGTCGAGTTGTGCGGAGCAGTGCTGGCGACTGAATTAATGGAATGGACCAAAAAATCATTGTCATTACCGTATACAAATCTAAAAACATTTTATTGGACCGATGCTACGATTGTGCCTTACTGGATAAATGGCGATCCGAATCGATGGCAAACATGGGTTTCAAACCGAGTTGGCAAGATACTACAAACCTCTTCACCGTCACAATGGAGTCACGTCGATACTATGCAAAATCCAGCTGATTGCGCAACCCGAGGCCTAACACCAGTCAGTTTATCAACTTTCAGGCTATGGTGGTCCGGCCCAGAGTGGTTGCTGTCAGATGAAGATTCCTGGCCGAAATTTAGCACGACTGAATTGCACATCAACGAAGAAATAGCTGAAGTTAAAAGGAAGCCGCTTCAAGCAAATTTCACGATTTGTCAAGACTTCGTTATTCTTCGGTACTCGTCGCTAACGAAAACCGTACGCGTTTGTGCGTACATTCTCCGTTTCGTGCAGAATAGCCAAGTTCAGAGCTGTGCCCGCATAAGTGGACCTTTGTCGGTTACCGAGCTAAACCAAAGTCTAGCAAAGGTTGTCAGGCTCGTACAACAAGAAACATTCAACACCGAAGTACACAACGTTCGCAATAAAAAACCTGTTCCACATAGAAGCAAGCTTACTGGCTTAACTCCGTTTCTTGATGAGCAGCAAATTCTTCGTGTGCGTGGGCGAATTCAGCGCTCTAATCTTCCATTTGATCAGAAGCACCCCATCATTTTACCAAGTAAGCATCATTTCACTAGTTTGGTTATCACTCACGCGCACTTAACGACATTACATGGTGGTGCGCAGCTTACCTTAACATATTTAAGACAGCGGTTTTGGATAATAAATGCCAACTTCGAAAATGCATTAAATGTGTTAGAAATAAGCCGGAAGTTGGTAGTCAACTGATGGGCGAACTTCCATTCCATCGAGTCAATCCACCACAACGACCGTTCCTCGCAACAGGCGTCGATTACACCGGCGCAATCGAGCTTAAATCGTCTAGATTTCGTGGAAATACGACATACAAAGGGTACATCACTATTTTCATTTGTTTAGCTACAAAGTGCATTCATCTGGAAGCAGTCACAGGCATGTCAACGGAAAACTTCTTGATGGCCCTGCAACGATTCATTGGACGTCGAGGTCTGTGCAAAGACATCTACAGCGATTGCGGAACAAATTTTATAGGCGCTGACAAGGTACTTCAACCAAATGAACGTAAATTTGCGGAGGACATAGAGCAAGAAGTCGTGCCGAAATTAGCAAGCCAAGGCATTTCACTTCAATCCTCCCCATTCACCTAATTTCGGAGGACTTTGGGAGGCGAATGTAAAATCGGTTAAGTATCATTTAAAGCGAACAGTGAGCGGTGCTAGGCTTACCTACGAAGCCCTTGCAACCCTTTTGGCGCGTATCGAAGCCTGTTTAAACTCCAGACCGCTGTGCTCTTTAACATCAGATCCCAACGAATTACAAGTGCTGACACCGGGGCATTTCCTAATAGGAGACTCTCTGCTTTCGCCACCAAACGCCTCTCCAGCGGCTAATGTATCACTCAGCCAACAATTTGCTCAAACGCAACGAATGTTTCAACAATTTTGGAAGCAGTGGACATCACACCTCCAAACACGACCAAAATGGTGTCACCAAAGACGAAATCTTCAAATAAATGACCTCGTCATCGTTAAGGATGAAAGGCTACCACCCAACGTGTGGGTAATGGGACGCGTCATAGAGCTTCATCCAGGTC